AATATATTTCATTAGAATATATTCCCAAAGAGAAATTTATGAGTCAAAGAGTATATACACAAGTTATGAAAACTATTTCTAATGTGTTTCCCAAAAATGCTGTACCAATTCATATCATTTCAATTGTCTAAGGTATATATCTAGGAGTGAAAAGTGATGGGTTATTTGGCTAAACCCAAGTTTAATTATTTAAAAAAAATTGTTTTAGCTTTTTTGCCACAGGGCAAGTGCAACTGCTATAGAGACAATGAGAGACAGAGAGAGAAAGTGAGAAATCATCCCCTCGGGGGTTGGCCATGCCACAATCCTTTCTCCTCCATTCCCCTCTTGGGATTTTGGGCATGCACACCCACGTGCCTGTCATGATTTTTCAGGTCACCAGGTCCAAAACTCAAAGCATGACTGGCCATGTGGGAATCCAGTGCCTTAACTACCATGCCACTTGATGGCCCCAACCTACATTCAATTTTTAGAGTAACTGCCATATAGTTTTCCAGAGCAGTTGCCTCCATCTTATGAGAATGCTTCAAATATTGGGTTGTTGGAAAAGTCGTGACACATTTTTGCATAGAAAAACATAGAAAAAAATACATCATGACTTTTCCAGCAACCTAATAATTTGTGGAGAAGTGGAATTAAAGTATGAGTTTATCTTGGTACTAAAAAGTTTAGGAATTTATGCATAGTCTTTCCATAATGTACAATCTCCTTGATCTTTTGAAGATCCTACATATATATCTCATCAGCAATGTATAAGAGGTTCGGTTTCTTCACATACTGATTAACATTAATTATTATGTGTCTTTTGAATAATAATTCTATCAGTAGGTATGATGTGGTGTCTCACTGTTATTTTAATTGGTGTTTTTATGATGGCTAATGGTATTGAATATCTTTTCAAATATTTATTTTCCATTTTGTGCTGTCTTTTAAAAAACTTTATTCAAATACTTTCCCTTTTCTTTTTTTTTGAGAGGTTTTTCTCTATAGGGTGCTATAGGGCACATGCGCTCGCCAGACAGACAGAGAGAGACATAGAGACAGAAAGCGAGAAATCACCCCCCAGGGGGATGGTCACGCCGCAATCCCTTCTCCTCCATTCTCCTCTCAGGATCTTGGGCACGCACGCACATGCGCCCGGCGTGAGTTTTAAGCCACCGGGTCCGGGACGTGAACCGCGGTCGACTACATGGGAGTCCAGCGACATAGCCATTACACCAACTGCCAGTTCCGAAATACTTTCCCATTTTTAAATGGGTTATTTTTCTTTTTATTGTTGTTTTACAAGTCCTTTATATATTCTAAATACTAGTCCCTTATCAGATATATGGCTTGAAAATATTTTCTCCCATCCCATGAGTTATTTTTACTTTAATGATAGTGTCCTTTGAAGCACATTTAAAAAAAATTTTAAGAATTATTTTATTTTATTTATTATTATTATTGTTGCTATTTTTAATTTGCTAAAGTGCACATGCAGTCACCAGAGCGCGCGAGAGAGACAGTAGGAAAAGCAAACCTCCAGCTCCAGGACTCAAACTGTGGTTAGCCATGTGAGAACCCAGCCCCTTAACCACCGCACCACCTCCTGAGCCCAACATCTTTAATTCTGAGGAAAGCTAGAAGCATGCACGTCCTGGTTCTTGGAACATTGTCTGGGAGCCTTAAGAAGCTTGACTGTCCTTAGACTTCCATTACCGTTCCTCGAATGCTCTACGTTGATCTTATAGCTGAGCGTCCCAGTAAACCCAGCCTACGAGTCAACCTCCTTGCCCCTCCCCCAGCGCCCCAAGATGCCAAACAAGAAAGGGAAGCCATCCTAATCCCTTCTGTCCAGTCATCCATCAGCTAAATACTACCCAGTGGCTGCAGCTGATGCTCATGAGGCAGCAAAATCACCCGGAGGAGCCTGCCTGAACTCATGACCCACAAAATCAGAAGACACGACTGAATAGAGAGCGTATAACTCCCTGGCAGTAATATGTTACAGAACAGTAGATAACCAGAAATTAGCGTGGATTAATAGCCACCTGTGAACTGATGAAACAGAAAAATGGAGGATATAACCCTTTAAAAAATCATTTTCCCTTTTAGAGACAGGAGGAAAAGGACTGGTTGAACATCAGATGTGGAAGCTCTGTCAAGCTCTGTCCTCTCTGCAGACTTTGGGAGGGAGATTAAGGCTGTGGGGACATAGAGGGGAATAGAAAAGGGGAGCCTTGGGAGCCAGCAGTTAGCGTAATGGCTATATCGCTGGACTCCCACGTAGTCAACCGCGGTTCACGTCCCGGACCCGGTGGCTTAAAACTCACGCCGGGCGCGTGTGCGTGCGTGCCCAAGATCCCGAGAGGAGAATGGAGGAGAAGGGATTGCGGCGTGACCATCCCCTCTGGGGGGTGATTTCTCACTTTCTGTCTCTATGTCTCTCTCTGTCTGGCGAGCGCACGCGCCCTATAGCGAAAAACCTCTCCAAAAAAAAAAAAAAAAGAAAGAAAGAAAGAAGGAAAAGGGGAGCCTTTATAGAAGTCAAACAGATGTGGTGGCTGACCCCCTTTTTTTGGCTAATCTCCCTGAATACTCCCTCCTCATAAAGAACTTAGTAAGGTCTTTGTTGAGTTCCACCTTTGTAGGATAGAGAAGGTACTATGAAGAGTAAACGAGGTCTACACTGTCTAGATTTTTACTGATGCTCCCTTACAGAGGTATAAATCATTGAATCAGTTGGTTCTCTCACAATCCGTTATTATCTCCATTTTTCCGGTAAAGAATCCAAGTCAGAGACGGGTTAAGTCACATGCCTGAGGTCACGCAGCTCATAAGGGCAGAGCTGAGATGCCTGGTTTGAATCCCAAAAGCTCTAGCTCCATAGCTCAGGATCTTTAAGACGACTACACTTTATCTAGAGTGAGATTAATTCAATAGCTTCTTCAAGTTTCTTTTTTACCTACAAACAAACAATATTGGGCAAATACTTCTGAGGTGTCAGACACCGGCTATAATGCGCCGGAAGGAGACATTCGGCACTAGCCCTAATGAAGCTGACGTTTTTCCTATCTTCGTCTTGGACAAAGGCATTTGTGGTGGAAATAAGGGGCTGGAGTAACCGAACACGTGATCGCCACCACTACACTTATGTCCTCCTCACCACCTCCAAGTAGGATCGAATCTCACCCATCCAGTCCTTGAGACTTTGGAGGGGGGAGAAAGGTAAAGGAGAAATGAAGCTACAGTTGAGTGACATGAAACAAAAGCTACAGAAAGAACCAGTAGGGGGACCAGCAGTTAGCGTAATGGCTATGTCGCTGGACTCCCACGTAGTTGACCGTGGTTCGCGTCCCGGACCCGGTGGCTTAAAACTCACGCCAGGCACGTGTGCGTGCGTGCCAAAGATCCTGAGAGGAGAATGGAGGAGAAGGGACTGTGGCGTGGCCATCCCCCCTGGGGGGTGATTTCTCACTTTCTATCTCTGTCTCTCTGTCTGTCTGGCGAGTGCACGTGCCCTGTAGCAAAAACCTCTCAAAAAAAAAAAAAAAAAAAACAGTAGGATAACTTTCTTGCCACTTCTCCTTCAAAATAGGTAAGAGAGGAGCAGAAAGGCCCTGCCCATTGGCTGCCACTAACTATAAACTTGATCCTCCCGTCCTGCCACTCTCCAGATTCTTACCCCTCACCTTTCAGAGAGAACACCTTTTCCTGGAACCAATACGAAAAACAAGGCATCTTTTTTTTTTTTTAAGTAAACAGATTTCTTTTTAAAAAAGACTTATTCATTCATTCATTCATTCATTCATTTTAATTTGACCAGAGAGAGACACACAGAGAGAGGAAAGTGAGAAAGCAAGCCACCAGGTCCAGGACTCAAACCATTGTCGGCCATGTGGGAGGGTCCAGCGCCTTAACCACCACGCCACCTGCTGATCCCAAAACAAGGTATCTTTTGCTACTGGGTTGCTAAGACAAAATGATCACTGCTGTACCCCTACCACAAAGGATCTGCCTGTCCAAGAATGGAGCCGCCACAGAGAAATCAGGCGTAATAGGAGACATGCCAATAAATCTTCTGGCAACATGTGAGCTCCTGAACCCTGCCTGAAGTCAACACCACCTGGACTTCTCAGTGTGTGAGCTGGGGTTCTGAACTTCTATTTCAGCTTCGTATCCACATGGTCTCAAAATAGCTGCTGCAGCTCCAGGTATTACATGTTACGAATACGACGCAGTATACAAGGACGAAACCCTCCCGCTATGGTTAAGAAATTAAGCTGAATTTCTGATCAGCAAATCAAAGACTTACACACCCGCATATTCTTCCCTTCCCTCAAGTTCCAATGTCAAAGATGCCACCCCGTGCCCTACGCAGGCAGGGGAAAAGGTTTAGAGGAAGAGCTGAGAATCAAACTGGGGAAGATAAAAGGAGACCGTGAGAAACGATACCAAGCTCCTAGATGCCAGCTTCTGAAATGCTCACTCCTTCCACCCACACGCACCCCTGCAGTTCTCAGGAAAGCGTGACTGGCAGCTGCAGGAGGAATGGGCAGCCAGTGTGCATGGAGAGACACCAGCACACTAAGTCTCTTGTCTCCCCACTGAAAAGATTTAGTACCAGAGACCTGCGGTGAAGTCTCATAGTCCTAAAATTCATTACAGCCATAAAAAGCACCACCATATTTTCATGAGCTATTAAAACAAACAGTTAAAAATAAAGCCCATTTGGTAGCCAATATCCTGCGCGTGATCATATTTTTTCATGTGTTTGTGAAGCAAAACAATTTGTTTAACTGCAATACATCTCCCTATAACCGATTCGGATTTCCACACTCTCTTCTGCATCCTAAAGTAATAAACTACGCGTCATCCAGCAATGTACTTTATAAAGGACACAGACTTACAACAAGAGCTCCATTGTCTTCGCTCTTCTCTTTCACTTTAACAATTGCTGTCCTTTTCCTTCCATTAATGAAATCTTTAAGTAGCCCAAACACCTCTTTCTAGCATTTTATTAGTAGGATTATTATTTCATGAGGGAGAGAGACGGAAAGAGAGACAGAAGGAAACAGACACTCCGATAGGGGCCCAATTCCGCGATCCGCCCCCAGCTTCGCCAGCACAGAGCTCGGACGCGCGTGTGGTGGGTGTAATCAGGGAGGTCTCCAGATGGGAACAGGCCGCCGTCCCTGCAGGTCAGCCTCACAGAGTGTCGCGTTTTACCACTGTCACCATCTGGCCTCCTCGTTGTCACAACTCTTGAAATCTCCGCAAATGCTGAGCACCATGGAAGTAAGGAAGTACAAAGGCAGGGTATTAGCCTTTAGTTGACACCGGTTATACGTCCCTCACACCACACCTTACTTTATTACTTTATTTCATTTAATTCTAACTTGATCTTTTTTTTTTTTTTTTTAATTTGCCAGAGAGCACATGCACTCCAGGGAGTGGGGGTGCAGAGGGATGGAGATGGAGAAAATGAGAAAGTAACCTCCCTCCCCCCATAGGGGATGGTCACACTGCAATGCTGCAATTCCTTCCCCTTCTCTTCCTCCTTTGGGGATTTTGGGTATGCACGCACATGCACCTGGTACATTTCTCAAGTCACCAGGTCAGGGACTTGAACCATGCAGCAGTTATGTGGGATCCAGCCACCCTAAACACCTGCTAATACTAATCTTTCTTTTTTTTATATTTATTATTATTATTTTAATTTTCTACAAGGCACATGTGCTCATCAAAGAGAGACAGACAGAGAGACAGAGTGAGAGAGAAAGGGAAAGTGAGAAAGCAAGCCACCAGATCCGGACTCAAGCCATAGTTGGCCATGTGGGAATCCAGCACCTTGACCACACACCACCTGCTAGCTCCCAACCTAATCTTTAAAGCAAGTGTTACTGTCCCCATTTTTCTTACAGAGAAGCCTGAAAGTATGTTATTTACCCAAATTTAAGAAGCCATAGAATACTATGAGCTGCAGCAGCCATCTTGAAACCATGACGGTATAAATCTAAAAATGAAGTTCAAAACACTCTCAAGATGGTGGAAGGAAGTGGTCTTTAGTAAATCTTGACTTTTCAATTAGCTAACTGGAAGATCTCTCCTCCGCCTCAGCAAACTCAGTACTTAGGGCAGTGCCTAGCACATGGTAGGCATTTAACAATTATTGAATAAATAAGTAAATGACTTTAATTTCTCAAAATCTGTCTTCATAGAAGAGAGACAGAGTGAGAGAGAAAGGGAAAGTGAGAAAGCAAGCCACCAGATCCGGACTCAAGCCATAGTTGGCCATGTGGGAATCCAGCACCTTGACCACACACCACCTGCTAGCTCCCAACCTAATCTTTAAAGCAAGTGTTACTGTCCCCATTTTTCTTACAGAGAAGCCTGAAAGTATGTTATTTACCCAAATTTAAGAAGCCATAGAATACTATGAGCTGCAGCAGCCATCTTGAAACCATGACGGTATAAATCTAAAAATGAAGTTCAAAACACTCTCAAGATGGTGGAAGGAAGTGGTCTTTAGTAAATCTTGACTTTTCAATTAGCTAACTGGAAGATCTCTCCTCCGCCTCAGCAAACTCAGTACTTAGGGCAGTGCCTAGCACATGGTAGGCATTTAACAATTATTGAATAAATAAGTAAATGACTTTAATTTCTCAAAATCTGTCTTCATAGAAGATAAAGGAAATATCATCCGAAGCTAAATATTCGCCTCCCCCATGACTCAGCATTTTCACCCCTAGGGATTTTGTAAGAGAAATGAGTGTGTCTACCAGAAACACGTGTGAAAGTGTCCGTACTAGCTCCAAGCTGGAGACAGCTCCAATGCCTGTCGATAGGAGAATGGCTGAATACCTGTGGGGACTTTGACACAGAATCAAAGGACAGACTATTACTACTCACACAACATGGATGAACCGTACAGATGCAATCCGTGAGTGAGAGGAGTCAGACAAATGCAGGAGTACATGCTGTCTAGTTCCTTTAAAGTGTCAAAGGAAAAAAAAAATTCCCCGGGAACAGAAGTCCATTTCCTCTGGAAAGGAGAGTGCTTACTGACAGGGAAAGGGCATGAAGGAAATCTTCCAGAGTGATGGAAGATTCTACCTCCTGATATGAGTTGTAGTAACATGGATTTATAAATATGTAAAAACAAACAAACAAACAAAGTATCAGACCAGCTGGTGGTACAGAGGCTTAGGTGGTTGGATTCTACATGGCCAATTTTGCAGTTTGAGTCCTGGACCTGGCAGCTGGAAAAACACGCTGGGTGCGTGTGTACGCATGTCCATTCTCAAGAGGAGAATGGGGGAGAGGGGACTGTAGCATGGCCATCCCTGCTGAAGGGAGGCGGGGTGCTTTCCCACTCTTTTCCTCCAGCAAGCACATATGCCCTATAGCAAAATTTTAAAAAATTATCAAGCTCTACGCTTAAACTATGTGCACTTCGCTGTACAAGTCATCCTTCATTTTTTTTAAAGGTTGAGAAGAGTTGTTTTAAAGGAGGCATAGGAAACATCTTTTACTTGGTGTTTATTTCAGGAAATCATAACCAAAAGGTCCGATAAGATAGTCTTCAAAACAACACTATTAAGTAGACGTGACTATCTCATGCAAACGCAAAACAGGAGAGCTGGAGAGGTAAGTGACTCCTCAATGTCACACAGCTCATCAGCGGCAAAGCTAGGGTTCGAATACAACCTCATCTAACCCTCAAAGTGTATACTCGCCTCTGTGTCCAGGCCTGTGTCCAGGCCGTATTCCCAGTAGTGCTTTTGTGTTGTGGTAAGTTACCTACATAGCTAACTTCCCAAGACCATGAACTGACTCATTATGGACTATCTACAAATATCACCTAAATTGAACAGAAGAGGCTGTAGGTGCAAAGACAGCATAGACTCTAGAATAGTAAGAAACGTGAAGCAACTTAATGATTCAGCAGCATATCATTAAGCAAACTATAATAACATATACATTCCATAGAGTATTATGCGGCCAGTATAAATTATGCTCAAGAAAGTTTACGGCAAGCCTGGCCCCCCCAGCACAGCAGTTAAGCCCTGTGCATTGGGAGCTAGGTCCCAAGTGACCAACTGTGGTTTGAATCTTAATCTTGGAGGCTTAAATAACATTGCGGGCATGTGTGGATGTAGGTCCAAAATCCTGATGGGATGAACAAATGGAGGGAAAAAGACTGGCACAACCAGCCCCATGGGAGGGTGTTTCTCTCTCTTTCTGCCTTCCTGTCAAGAGCATGTCTTTATAAAAACGAAAGCTTGGGACCAGCAGATGGTAGAATGGTTACATCACTGGACTCCCACATAGCTGAGCATGGTTCCAGTCCCAACCTGGAGACTTAAAACTTACGCTGGGTGTGTGTGCGCGCATGTCCAAAATCCCAAGAGGAGAATGGAGGAGAAGGGATTGCGGTGTGGACATCCTACCTGGGGGTGTGTGTGGGGGAATTTCTCACTTCCTGTCTCTCTGTCTCTGTCTGTCTGATGAGCACACATTCCCTATAACAAAAATCTCTCTCAAAAAAAAAAAAACCACACACACAAACACACACACACACACACACACACACAAACACAAAAAAAACCCCTATGCTATAACAGAAGATTCACAAAGCCTTCCTTGGCTCTTTTCCACTCTATCCCCAGAGCCTACAAAGCAAAATAAACATGTCGTGCGTGGAGGGTTTTTTTCACCCAAAAGCACCACTGGAAATACGGCCTGGACACAGAGGCGAGTATACACAGTACTGGATGAAACAGTGATGGGTATTTTCCACAAGACAATATTGTCCTCATTTTACAGACAGTAGCTGAGACTCCAGCAGGGAGCACTGCACGTCTGAGATCACAGAACTTGTAAGAGACAAAAGGGAACAAAAAGGAACCCGGGCTGGCGGGCTCTGTGCGCCTGCTCTCCACACTCCACTCCCAGCTGTAGTTTCTTCAAGACCAAGCCCTACGGACAATGGCCCCACAGTTAATTTATGGGGCAACTCCTCTCTGGATAGGATACACAGATATTGGCAACTGTGATTCGTGATCATAGAGTTTTATTGAAAACAACTTTATACAAGATTGACTTCCGAAATCCTTCCTGTGACTAATGACAACCTTCTGAAATGATATTTTTAAAAAAACCATTTTGCTCCCTGAAAAAAATGACATAATATAGTGTGGGACAGGCCACGGTAGTCATATATTTAGATTCGCAGTTACTAGATAGAAACAAAAGAGAGCTGGGGAGAAGATATCGTCACACATGCTTTTAATCAGGAAAGAAAGACACTTCTCTAATCCATGTCTTGCAAAACCGTTAACCAAAGTCCTAAACCAAAGCTCAAATCATTGAAAAATGAAAAGGATCCATCTACTCGCGACAGAGAGACTGCAGTTGTGTAAGAAAGTTGAACACACATAGGGATGAAAAGGGTAGACGCCGCCTTTTGGTAATTAGCTAATAGTCAGAGACGAATGGAAGAAATAACTGAGTGCAGGGCAGAAGTCAGAATTCTCCCCATTGTTGTCATGAAACTATAACATGTCCATTTAAAACTTGGATGCTTACGTCGTTAGTTATGTAGGATACAGCAGGATACAGTTGGTGCTAGTCAACGACATTCCAGCTCGCCTGTCCATCCATCCACCCATTCGCTAGGCTTAACCACGAGCAACTGCCAATCACTTGATCATTTTTTTGACTCAGAAGAAAAGGGAACTTTAAAGGATGCAGTTGAAAATATTTGATCAATTCTTTTTTTTTTCTTTTAGAGAAAAAGAAGTGTGTGCTCGCGGGAGAGACACAGAGACAGAGAGACAGAAAGCAAGAAATCTCCCTCCCCCGGATGGCTACACTGCAATCCCTTCTCTTTACTCTCTTCCTGGGATTTTGGGCATGCACACACATGTGGCCAGAGTGAGTTTTAAGCCACTGAGTCTGGGATTTGAATCATGGTCGACTACGTGGGAGTCCAGTGACATAACCATTATGCCATCTGCTGGTCCCCTTGATCAATTCTTATCTGGTGCATGTTCAATGTACCAGATGAAGTTCTGAGAAAAAGACTGAGTAAGAAGTACACTCTATCCTGAAAACCTCTAACGGGAGAAATATACCCCAACAACTATTTATAAGGGAGTTACGAATGTAAAAAGCGCTGTAAGATTATCACGACATATATGCACAGAAAAAACGAACAGAAAACTATCAGCAAAAAAAATGTGGGTGGTAGGAGTTTATGAAATTATTTTTCCTTTTAA